CGCCTATCGAAAACTTTTTTTTATCATTCTAAGTTAAAATATACAGGAAAATCTATGATGCACGAAATATGGCTAGCAGGTGCGTAGAATTGCCGGAGTTGGGAGCGTATATATACTAAGATCAAATAACTAAGATATACCCTCGCCCACTTCTAAGTTTGTACGCCTAAAAATGTCTTCCAAAATGATCAGGATCTTCTGAAACGTCAAAAAACGATGCTTGAACAGTTGTATATATATATAGATCATGCGGAGAAAGGTATATAACAAAAAGTAGAAAAATAATGGGCAAAATCCGCAAAAAAGAGGAAAGTGGATTCGAGCAGAAAATAGGAAGTAACCCGAGCGATACGTATTTCTGCTGGTTGGCTTCATCAGGCCCGAAATGAATGCACATATGAAACTACAAAAGTAGATACACATGCCCACACATCCGGATACGGGTGAAACCTGAGGAAACGAAGATGGAGAGGGAAAAAAACGACACACGAAGTCCACAAAAAAGCCAACCTCCACATTGTAGTATAAAATGGCTAGAAGACCTCGAATTGTGGATTCTTTGGGCGTGAAGTACCACAGCAAGTGGCTATAACCGGCCGCGTGGTTATGGTTAGATGTCTCCTTGAAAATTCGAGGTCTTCTAGCCGTTTGGTACTACAATGTGTAGGTTGGCTCTTGTTGTGGACTTCGTGTGTCGTTTTTTTCCCTCTCCATCTTCGTTTCCTCAGGTTACACCCGTATCCGGATGTGTAGACATGTGTATCTACTTTTGTAGTTTCATATGTGCATTCATTTCGGGCCTGCTGAAGCCAACCAGCAGAAATACGTATTGCTCGGGTTACCTATCCTATTTTCTGCTCGAATCGACTTTCCTCTTTTTTGCGGATTTTGCCCATTATTTTTTCTACTTTTTGTTATATATATATATCAGGGAAAGTGTCACTACGGCCCTAAGACGCGTTAAAATTTAGAAATACGATGAATTGAATAAATAGGATTTAATGCATTTAATTTTTGTCTTTTGTACATGATATCATCACAACATATGTTCAAAATGTCTTCCTCCAACCTGAATACACCGATTTAAACGTCGCACATGATTTCGGCGGACTTGACTAAAAATTTTATACTCGTTTTGAATGATTTCAAATGCTACTGTAATTCGTCCAATTAAGTAATGCTCTGTTTCTACTGGAGTTTCGTAAACCAAAGACTTCACATGTCCCTACAGGAAGAAATCTAGCGACGTTAAATCGGGTGACCTAGGAGGCCAAAAAACTGCTCCACCGCTGGCAATCCAAAGGTGCCCAAGCTGCTGAGCCAAATACTCAGATACTTGTACACCAAAGTGAGTCGGCGCTCCATCATGCTGAAACCACATTTGCTGTCGAACGTTCAATGGAACATTTTCAAGAAGTTCTGGAAGAACTTCCTCAAAGAAACGCCGGTAAATAGGTCCTGTTAACCGTTTCGGTAGAAGGTATGGCCCAATCAAATAGTCATCAACAATGCTTGCCCATACGTTGACAGACCAACGTTGCTGATCTTTTCTAGGAAAAATTGCATCGGGATTTTCTTTGTCCAAAACGTGGCTATTCCTACTATTAAAAAAACCGTCCTTGTGAAAGAGGCTTCGTCGGTCCATAAAACATAGCGTAAAAAATTTGGTTGTGCAGCGATTTGATGAAGAAGCCATTGACAAAATTGAACTCTAGGATGATCATCGGCTGCAGTCAATCCTTGAACTCTCTGGAAGTGGTAAGGATAAAGTTGTTGCTCGTGTAGCACCCGCGAGACGGAAGCGTTACTCGTATTAATATCCTCCGCAATGTGACCTGTGCTACTTGATGGTTCGTCGGCAACTCGCTGAAGGACCTCTTCTTCAAATTCCACCGTTCTTACGGTTCGAGCGACGCCAGTATCATGCATGTTTGTTTTAAACATGCCTGTCTCGGAGAGCCGCCGATGAATAGCAATAAACTTTTTGTATCCCGGATGCGGTCGTTCGGGATAACGTTCCTGATACAACCGCGGTGCTGCTCGTGCATTGCAGCTTGTGGCTCCGTATGCCAAATGCATATCTGAAAATTCTTGATTGGTAAAGTTTTTAAATAGCAAGAATTAATTTTTGTTAAATTCTTGCAAACTTCACAAATACGATAACACGACTAAGGCGATATGGAATGCAGCTACAAAAAACAACATCTGTTATCGTTTTTAAAGATAACAACACACAAGCGCCGGATATGGGTCCCTATACTCAAATATTTTCTACTGTTACACTGAATAACCCCTACAAGTTTGATCCCATAGTTTCTGAAGAAACACCCTGTATATATACATATGTGTTTGTGCTGCGCATTCATCATTTTTGTATAATCAATATTTATAACTAACGGGATTTAAGTTTATAAGCTTCTGTTTATTTGCAGGCCTCATGAAAGGACCCTAGATGAGCAAGAGACAATCTACGAAGAACTTCTTCACATACGAGCTGTAGCGCATTTGTCAAATACTGTGAAGAGAGAACTCGCTAGCATTATAGTTTTTGAAGCACATCCCAAATCTGGATCTGTCTGTGAGTAAAAATTCTATATACAGGAAGTCTCAAAGGTTATAGGTCAAACAAAAGAGTGTGATAGAATGCTCATTTCCAATCAGACAAACCAAATATTTGGTTTGGAGCTGTCGCCATTTTTAAGAATTTGTAAAAGTTCTCTACTTTTGAGACTGCACTATTTTAACTTATATTTTTTGTTATTTTATAATCAGCTTTACAGGATATATTCCAAAATGATGGTATCGATGAAGGAAAGGCATCAGTAAAAAATTAGATCAGTTAATATATTTGCAGCAATCAGCTAAACCGCAATTTTGTCAGCAGCATATTCAATAAGGTCCGTACAAAAATTAGTGAGCAAATAAACTGTCCATAAATATGAAAAACAGTCAGATATTATTACTTCTCAAAAGACCTTTTACTTCATCAAATATCCTAAATAGCTCTTGGGCAAGATAGACAAAATGCTGCAGGTAACCTAAATCTCAAAATATCCTATTTTGTAAACTAAATCCTAAAACTGCGATTGTCAACCTTCTACATTCCAAACAGGATCAGGAAAATCAAGAGATCATGTCTTTAAACTAAGATGGATTCTAGATCTAAGCAATCCAAAACAATGGCGGCTTGACATTATTTTGGGTAATAAAGGTAGTATTATCTGGTCTTATAACCATAGTTATCAACTTTTTATACTCCAAGTAGGAGAAAGAGACAATAATTTGTTGAATAATTATAATAATTTAATCCTATCGTCTAGAATAGGTGCGATGCAAAAAATTCTGACGTGTATTGTGTGATCTAGCTAGCTTGCTAACAGTTCTGGTACATTGTATTGGAGAAGAATTAATGAAGTTTCTCCAATTTTTCTGTTGATTACAATTGGTCAATAAATTTACTATTTATGAGTCTAGCCCAGGGGGCGCGCCTCCCAAGAGAGGCATAGGATGATGTCAAGGGGGGCGGAAAGCGTTTCCATTTTAGAAAGAAAAAACAAAAAAAATAAACAAATAACATTACAATGTAATGCTTAATCTACACGCATAAAATTAAAAATTAAATATCATATTCACTTATTTTGTCAACCGCTGTTTAAGAACCCGGCGTCGTTAATCACAGTTTATAAAAGTTTCGACAAGTCACAACATGAAATTCGCGCGCACCCCCGCCGCACCGCTTAACATTCATCACTTAGAAAACAATTGTGTACCTACCAGACGCGTATGAGCATCTGTGACATCCATTCCCACAAACTTGCGAAAAATTTGACGTTTCGATTTACATGTTTTGTTGAGAAATCTGTTTGAGTGTGTCAAATTATTGTGTCTCGGTGTTAAAAGGTAAGTTTGTGTATTTACAAACTTCAGTTACCATTTTTATTTAATTTACTAAATTGTTGATTGAGTGGGGATGCGTTCATAGATCGGCCATTGGGACTTTTTTACCACATCACAATCAAACCAACGTGGCGAAATAATTTTGAAACGACGAACTTTAAGTACCTAATATTGATTCCAAATGTATTTAAAATTACTATTATAACGTCAACCTAACTAGAAATATACAAATCTCCCGGTGGCCAATATACTGTTAAATTCATTACGTTATTAAGATAAAATAATGGGCATATACTTAGTAATTACATGTGGGTATTTTGATTATTCATTTATTACTTATTTGTTTTATTTTTATAAATGCAAAATGGTAGCGAAAAAAATAAAGTTTTCCGGAGATTAGGTTAAGTTTGGATTTACCTTCATAGAAAAAGACGAGTTACAATTGCCTCTGTGTGTGAGATGTATGAAAGTTTCAAGTAATGATAGCATGAGGCCCAATCGCCTTGAAAGGCATTTGAAGCAACAACATCCTACTCTGGTCTTGAAGACGAACAGGTTTTGCTTCTTCTAAAGCAGAATCACTCAAGCGGATAAGACTGGATATATCGGGAAGTTATCACATAGGTATATCGCAGAATCTCAAAGCTTCATTTGAAATATCTTTTATGATAGCAAAGCAAAATAAACCTCATACTATCGGTGAAGAATTAATAAAACCATGTGTCCTAAAAGCCACGCAGATAAGTTTAGGAGAAGATGCAGAGCAATAAATTAAGTCTATTTCTCTTTCGAATAACACAGTCAAGCGTAGAATCGATGACATTGCAGCAGACATAGATTCACAAATAATTAACAAAGTAAAATTATCGCCATTTTTTGCCATTAGTTGCGATGAATCCACCGACATCGTTAATTGTACACACTTAATAGTTTATGTCCGTTACATCAGAGGAGATATCATACAAGAAGAGATTTTGTACTCCCAATCTTTGACAGCAGGTACTACATCAGAATATTTGTTTAATTCAATATCAAATGTTGTTAAAAAAAATTATTTGGATTGGAAGAAACTCATTGGACTTTGCACAGATGGCGCACCTGCAATGATAGGTGTACGATCGGGCTTAGCTAAAAAGCTCAAGGAAAAAATCCCGCAATGGTTAGTACACATTCTTCTCCAAAATATTTCCACAGAAATTACGCCAGACTTTATACTCGGCTATAAGGATTGTAAACTACATCAACAGCAGTGCTTTGAACAGTCGGTTATTTACTTTACTTTCCGAGGATCTCAATTCTGATCACAAAGTTCTTCTGTTCCATACAGAAGTACGCTGGCTGTCCAAAGACAACATGTTGGCTCGCCTTGATGAATTGAAAGAAGAGGCAATTCTTTTTCTTGAGTTCAAAAAAAAAAACACGATTTCTTGACAATGTTCAAAGATGACACATTTCAGTGGACATATTTGACTCCTTGAATGAGCTATACTTGAAACTCCAGGGCAGAAACAACACTATAATAAGCAATTATGATTATATTCATAGGTTCATATCAAAGCTCAAACTTTGGAATCAAAAAGTGTCTTCTAAAAATGTTATATTTTTTCCTCGGTTGTTCGAATCAATTAAAAATACTCGTAACATGCTGGACGCAAATTTAAACTCATTTGCAAACCCTGGAAGACGAATTTCGCCGATACTATTCAAACATCAATTCATTGTCACCAATATGGCACATGACAAAAAACCATTTGTTGTCGATGTGTCACAATTACCAGAAGAAGTTCAGGAAGAATTTCTAGAAATGAAGGCTGATTCGTCCATGAAACGTGACTTCGATCTTTTAACATTGGAGAAATTTTGGATCAAAAGATTGCCTGTTAATTCGACACTTGCCTCTCTTGCTTTACGAATACTAGTTCCTTTTTCGTCAACGTACTTATGTGACACAAGCTTTTCTGCTCTAGTTTTAATCAAAACTTAACAGCGAAATCGTCTTGATGTTGATAGTGACCTGATGAAAGCTCTGGCGAAAACAGAACCTAGAATCAACCAACTGGTACAGAACATGCAATCTCAAGTGTACTAATTAGTACCTACTCTTGTTTTATTCAAGTTTTTCTATAAAAAAACATTTACTAGTTTATTTAATCTTTTAAAGTTTCTTTATTAGAATTAAAATAATAGTAGCTATACAATGTGCGTTTTTTTGTATTTATTGAAAAAGTAAAGGGGAGCATGAAAATATAATTTATAGTCTGAGGAGCCTCAACAAAAAAAGTTTGGTCTAGCCCATAATTTGTCCCTAAATCGGAGTTGAGAGCGGTCCAGCCTCATGATTTGTAAATCTACAGCCCAGTGGTGGATATTATGAATATTACAGATGCCTGCTCTCAAAGACGTTCAATCCATAACTTTTTTTGGAAACATTTCTGAATTCTTGGCGCATCCTTCTGTAAATTGGACTCTCTCTTCTTCTGAAAGAAGTGCCCGCGCATGATGGATAAGAAAGGGTGCAGCAGCTCTCTATGTAAAATTCTGTGTATTGTCGACCTAGCTACATCAACATTCGGTAAAATACGGAGCACGCTACTAGAAAGGTCATCTTCAAATCACAGCAGTCTACGTCGATAACCTGCCCTCCTATTCCTTCTTATCCTATGCATTTCTCTGTACTCGAAATTTAATCTGCTGAGATATTTAAGCAGAAAATCGAACAGCTCCAACGCACAATCCACAAACTAAGAGAACGCATTCGCGTATCAGTCGAATATGACATCTTGCATCGAAATCCCAATAACAGAATTAAACAAGTGGGATAAGTACGCTATAATCTCTGCAAGCGTTTTATAGTACGGACATTAGTTAATTATTCTATACATGTTTACTATCCTATTTGCGTAACAAAAGGCCGTTATCGAGAAAGGTAATACAGCATAGATTCCATAACCATTTTATCGCCCAAAATGATGTCAAGGCGGTCACCCCTTACTTTGATTAGATTTGGCATTGATTTGAATTTGAGGAGTTGTTGTCCCTCAATCGTTTAATGACTCTATCCGGAATGTAGAATATTGATGATGGCCCTTATAGGATAAGTTCATAAAATGGGAACTTTCAAGAGTAAGGGTATCTGCAGCATTTTGCCTGTCTTACGCAGAAACTGCTTAGGATATTTGATTATCTGTAGGAATTTTGAAGACCAGGTTTTCCTAACTATGTATAATTCATCTGATCACTAATTTGTTCTATAAGCCTACGTGAATATGCCACAATATTTTTAATGATAGATAAAATTACGGTTCATCCGATTGCTATACCTACATTAGTTGGACTAATTTTTCACTGATAGCTATTCTTCAACCACACATCATTTGGGAACATATTCTAAGAAGATTAATGAGAAATAACGAAAGATACACAAACTTCATATAAAAATAATACTGTCTCAAAAGTAACAATTTTCTACTAATTCTTAATAATGGTGATACCTCCTAAACCCTGTGGATATAAATGAGAGACATGAAATTTTGTACACCTACTAATTGAACCCTGATGAAGGTTATAAACATGGTATTATCAGCGAAGATATACAGGGTGCTCAAAAAGCATAGATTGACCAAAATATCTCGAAAAATACCTGGAGAAGATTGTTGTAGAACACAGTTTTTTTCCATACTAAAGCAGCCGCACAGGCAGAAGCCTAAATGCCGGGACACCGCTGCTGCTATGATGATCCCAAAGGAAGTTTGTTAATCGGATTTTTGAACTGCCCAACGTTAGTGCATCTGGGAAAATCTTCCTCTTGTAGTTTGTTCCACAATCACGACACCCTCGAGACAAAGAAGCGGTCGTATCGGCCAGTTCTGGATGCACGATGTTCTACACGGTTAGGATGGGAGGCCCAAGTCAGGCGGATCTGTCTGGCAGGCACATCGCGCGGCGACATCATGGAGGAGAGCTCTGAGGAACAAAGCCCGTTTTTGTAGCGGTAGAAGAGAGCTAGATCGCCGACGGCCCGCCGGTGCTAAAGGGTCCCGAGACGGTTTGTTAGAGAAGAGTCATCGATCAGTCGAACAGCTCTCCTCTGGACAGCATCGAGCATAAATAATGTAGTCGGGGCGGCAACACCCCAAACGTGTGAGCAATACTCGAGGCTAGGCCTTATCTGGGCCTTGTATAGAGTGAGAAGGTCATGCGGAGGAACGTACTTTTTAGCCCTAAACAAATAGCCTAGCTTTTTCCGAGCAGCTGCCGCTATTGACGAGATGTGTTCGTGCCAGATCAAGTCCTTCGGTGATCTGGACTCCGACCAGCCGAAATGAATGGCTCTTTGGTAGAACTCGTCCATCCATCGAAACCGGATGAGCGCTAGGCCGCTTTTTGTTCGTCAAGGTACAGTACTGTGTTTTGGAAGCATTAAACTGTACAAAATTGTTGCGTCCCCAAGACAAGTTGTAACGTTTGAAAAAAATCATCTAATGGGTATCTTGAACGTGACCTTGACTATGACCTTCAATATCATCTGAAGGTCAAGGCTTTTTTTAAAAAAATATTTTTGATATCGGGAATAAAAAGAAGAAGAAACTGGTCCCAAGTATTTCCGTGACCTTGATTATGACCATAGAGGTCATTTGAAGATCAAATGAATGTTTAAGGGAGAATATATTTCAAGTTTCAGTATATAATTGCTAATAACCTTCAACGTGATGTTAAGAAGCAAGTTAATTTTCAAGTAAGCTTCCTACTTATTATCAAGGATATAAGATATAAAAAATCGAAACATTGCAATTAAGATATTGTTGTATTAAAATGTTGGATAAAAAATATTCATTGTTAAAGTAACGATTGTGTTACTTTGAATATTCCTCCTTCACCAAAATGCAAAACGAACACTACTACTACGCGGGTTTAGTCTAGTCATAAAACAAACTTTATTCTGGCACCCTATAGTACAATTCTAACAAACATAAAGAGTACTACTATCTAGAACTGTCGAATAAAGTAATCCAAACAAATTAAAGATATGGTATTATATACTAAGTATCTAAGTCCTCGCCTAATCTTGCTGCTGATAATCCATGAAAATCACAACACAGTCGTATAGCGACTTTGTATATACTTCTATAAATTCTTTAATTGCTTCTAGTGTTTCATCAAGGAGATGAAGGCAGGTCATGGTACATCATCCTAAGAGGTTCTGTCGATGTTGTGATTCACGGTAAAGGTACCGTGAATACTCTCCATGAAGGTGACGACTTTGGAAAGCTAGCACTCATCAATGATGCGCCGAGGTAACTAAATTTTTAAACCATTCATTGTCATTGTGTGTGTTTAAATTTCATCCTCCACTATTGGTGCCTCGGACTTTTTTCGTCTTTCACCAAAACTACTCTTAATTTTCAATTTTTCCTCCGTATTTTTTATTTCCCGGGATCGCATTGATGAGGGTGAAATTTGAAAGACCCGGAATAATTGGAAGTACTAATTGTACTTAATGCTATTATGACCCCTGCTCTGTGTTCTGGCAATGTTTCGATCATCCCAAATTTGGCTACTGAAACAAAAAATGACTACACGTCCTATGGGTGGCTAAAAAATGTTTGCACCTATGAACAATACTTATCCGGTCATCGTGCTTCGTACTGTGGAATTAAACAGTAAAGATAGGGGACGTGCACCAACCAAGAAGAGTCAAAAGTAAATTAGTATGTTACCGAAAATAATTGAAATTGCAGACCTCATTTGTTCAGTATATGAATATAGTAGATTTCTGTAGCCTCAGTTGTCTAATCATATTAGCAAATTTTCCAGACATAATTGTAAAGTCTGGTTTTATTGATGAAAGTTGTTCAAGTGGATATTTAAAACATGGGCGCATAAAACTGGTACACCAATCTTTGTGGCAAAACTTTTTTTTCGACAACAAAGAACGAACACACGTTTTTGGGATTCAATCGAAAGTCTTGACAGGAACCAAAAACTCTGCAAATAAGGTTTTCGGGTATTTATGAGACCTACAGAATGAGACTACCCGTAAAAAGGTCTGACCAATATTAAAAAAGTTATGGCCGAAGACCGAAGCAAAATGCAGGTTATGGCTCTTGTTAATGCGACGATAATTTCACTCAGCTACTTGAAATTCTTCAAATCTGTAGGCTTCATACTTCTTAATAACCACAACAAAATTGGAGTCGATTGCTCAACTAGTTTTTACGAATTTCTAATTGCTTATCCCAAAACACCTATCTTCGGCCCATCACTACTAGTTTACTGAGCAATATACAGGGTACGTCCAGAGGACATTTTATAGCGAAATACACGAGTTTACCTTGCCGACACGAATCACAAACCATTCCGAAAGAAATTGTTATTTTTATGCGAAAATTGAAAGGGATAAACAATTAGAAATTCTCAAAAACTACTTGACCAATCGACTCCAATTTCGTTGAAACTATCGTCGCATTATCAACAAGTTCGAAAATCTGCATCCTGCCTCGGTTGTCGGCCATAACTATTTTACTATTAGTCGGATCTTTTTACATGCAGTCTCATTGTGTGGGTGTCATAAATACCTAAAAATCTTATTTAAATAGTTTTTTTGTTCCTGTCAACACTTTCCATTGAATCCCAAAAAACACGTTTCTTCATTTTTTGTGGTGGAATAAAAAGTTTTCCCACAAAAATTGGTGTGCCTATTTTATGCTTCCATGATTTATATACCCCCTTGAACAACTTGCATCAATAAAACCAGACTACAATTATTTCGCAAACTAGGGGTATTTTCGTGTAATTTGATTAGACTACAGCACTAAAATATCATCAAACTCCTAAAGTCGCAGATTTGAATCATTTTCGCCATAAAAATAATTAAAATTCTCTTGGTTGGTGCTCATCACCCTTAATGTATCATCTTATTATGGTAAAAGTTGTTTTCTCAGCCATGTATAAAAAAGCATCTCAGCAAAGTGAAATCATCTAATTGTTGTTACTCTCGGCAGCCCACTATTCCGTTGCGATCGATTTGCTAACAACAGGGCCAGGATATAAACAGAATATCTAGTTAGTTATATGTCAAAGCTCCTCTATCTTCAGGTGGCATAATGGACAATCAATACTCTGCATTAGTATTATAATGGCCAGTATCTCTCTGATTACATGCTCTACCAGTTAATGACTATATAGAGCAATGATACACCGGTTCTTCCTGGTTTAATGGTTTCAGCTATCCAATAATAATAATAAAGGCGTCTTTATTTGTTACAATTACATGGTAACAATGATTTAGAAATAGCCTAATTGGCGAAGTTTAGCTTGCCTACTTATACACATTTATTTCCAGAAACATGGAAACGTGCACAATCAACCGATCCTAATTTACCAGGCACGTTTTGGCTTGAAAGAATGTTCCATTTGAATAAGCATTTTTCACAGAACGGCAAATAGATCAGGCTAACTAGCCAAAAGAAATTTCTTTTACAGAAAATGGCGTCTAGTAGGTTGACTCTGCACTTTTCACGCAACGCCGTTATCAGTTCATACATGTTCAGCACAAACTGAACCCTCTGAGAAAAAAGTCAGTCAAACAGGCCAGTACAATTCATAATAATAATAATAATATTAACGCATCCTCCAATAAAGAAAATATCCATCGATCTTCCTTCCCACATTATAATGCACGAGTTGATTCCATAAAACAAAAGTTCACCTTTCCGATATCTGAAAATTCTCATCAAATTTTTAGAGCGCGCTCGCTGCTCTTGACTGCATAATGGATGTGCAGCAGTACATCGATGCTGGTTCTGAAATTCTATACGCGATGCATAGAGTGCAACCAAAGAGACTACCACTCTCATAAAACCTCCGCTAGAAGGAAAAGCAGAGTGCCGAGCATGGTAAAAGTGCTGGGGAAATATTTGTATGCAGAAAATTAAATTTTTTGGTACTGTGTGTCAACAATGTTAGCGGAAAATTAATCAAGCAAAATAGAGATGTTGCCAAATATTACTTATGGAAAATTTGTAAATAAAATCTTAAAAAAGCAGTAAAAAATTGTCGTCGATGCTATTACATCTTCAGCTGTTCATGTCATACCTCTATAATAGACTACAACTGGTTGAAATTGTTAAGTGAGGTCGAACTCACAAGTCAAACATTGAGTCGACTTCATCCGGTATAGCACAGGGAAGTAAGTATACTTGGGCCCTTTTGTTTGTCGTTTTTTGAATTTTTTTTATTGTATGGGACAGGTGTGGAGGAGCTAACTGCTAATAGGTATCTCTTATTCAGATGGTTTTTGGAGAACGAACTGATGTTGAATCAATCCAAAAGTGATGCAATTTCATCTAGAACTAAACAGAGTAAAGTTGTTAAATGATATAGATGATCATCGACTGCAGTTGAGTGAAGGTGTGAAGTTCTTAGGCATCTATATTGATGAATTTTCAGATCGGACAACAGTTGTATCCGAACTGCTGAAAAGGCTTAATCCCATTTGTCATGGTTTTAGGGTAACATGAAGATATCTAAATTATTCGAGTATGAAAATATTGTACTATGCTAATCCTGAGAGTGTTCCAAGCCTTGGGGTTATTTTTGGGGGCATAATAGACTTATCAGCCTTGTCGCCTTTCCTCCTTCTTGATTTTGCTTTTACAAATCCTTCGTTCTGTTCGTCTTCGTCTGTGGATGTGAGATGATTATCAGTAACGTTTCTCAGTGGTCTTTTTAGGGTCTTTGTCCGTTCTTTAGGGGATTCTTTTGAATTTAGTAATATTGTTACATGGGCGGTCAGGCTGTCAATATTGGCTGTCTGGTCCTTGATGGTCTCGATTAGGTCTCGAATCTGCCTCGCCTGGTCGTCTATAATCAGCATCAGTTTTTTGATCGTTTTCTGCTCCGATGACATCTGCGTCAGTGAGCTCATGTTTTTTGCTTCTGCTTGGTTTACGCCACCGCTCAGCTCTTTCCTCATAGAATGTGGAGCTGCGTCGTCTGTCGATCCTTCTGGGTCAACTTCCATCTTTTAACAACTTTTTCTCGCCAACAAATCTCAGAAAACTTATAGCTCGCAAATGTGACAATGTTGTCTTAGTGAGCCTCATAAAATTTGAAATTTAGATTATTATTATTCAACCATTTCCTGCTCAAAAGATGGCATCAAGAAGGCTAATTCTGCACTTCCCCCACCACGCTGATGACAGCGACCGACAGTACCGACCATCTAACAACACTGCTATGTCTAACCTCGCCACTCTCTAGCCACTCATCGATCAGATAGCAGTCAAACCTTAACGCAGGTATAACTACGTTAGTTGCGCTGTTACATGGCGAGTGGTCAAAATATTTCTCTATCAAAGTTTATAGGGAAAGTTTACAGGAAATCTTGGATGTGAGAAATGTGTCTAACAGGTACATAGAGTTACCAGGGTTAGTAGCGTATAATTATATTAATGCCAAGAACTTGAGACATACCCTGTCCCTCTCCGTACAACCTCCAACCCTACAACCACCAACACCAAATTTTTAAGTCCGACAAGAATTTTATTTAAATTGATCAAGAGCACTAGCCTCTTAAACGTCAAAAAATGAAGTTCGAGCGTTTTTTTTTTGTTTTGTGCCTTTAGCTTCGCCGCTACTGGATCTATTTTGAACTGCAAAGCTTTTTTGTTGTTGGTATAGTCGTAACGATGTCCCAAAATATTATCAACATAACACAACTAAAGCTCCGTTTTCTCAAGAAAGCTAAAAACTGTTAACTTGAAGTGACATTTTACTCAACTGCAGAATTTTGTTTTAATTTCTACATATTATGCTTTAAGATGAAATCAGAAACAACGAATTTTACCATTTTAGGGTTTATTTTTTACCTTTTCATTACTTCTTGTAGAGAATTATAAAATAGATTTACTTTAACGCATAAAATGAGAACTACGCAAACTGGACCAAATCTCCAGATTCTTACAAAGGACCGTCCTGAAAAGCGACTTCAATTCCTATTTTCCAAAGAGCCAAGCCGTGTAGAATTATTTCCTGTTTTTTTAAAAGACCGGATGCACCTTGAAAATGCTTTCACGTTACGATTGGATAGAGATGAGAGTTAACCGTTGCCTGGTATATAAATAATTAAACTTCTGGAATATGTCCTATGAAATTTAAAATTGATTTCCTCTCTTTCGTGCAGTGTCTTTACGGCTTGCCAAATTTAAAACATATAAGTGAAATAGGTTCAGTGAACACAAAAACGTCATTTTTAACGTTAAAAGATACGCGTTTGGAAGTTCGTATCAGACTA